AGAGAGAGAGAGGGAGGGAAAGGGGGAGAGAGAGAGGGAGCTAGAGAGAGAGAGAGACAGAGAGAGAGAGAGAGAGAGAGAGAGAGAGAGAAAAAGAGCACAATTCCAGTGTTTTCAATGGTTTGTTTTGTGTGTGAGCACATGTGTGTGTGTGAGTGTGTGTACATGATGTGAGCAAGCATGAGCGTGTGTATTCGTGTATATATTACAAATGTCAGCACTCCTTTGAATGTTGATTTCCGTAGGCTCTGTTGTGTAAAAATTGCAATAAACAGAGGTCTTGATTTCAATATTGTTTTGTTTACCTCTTATTGGACAGTCAAATTATAAATGTGTTTGCCTAAAGAACATAAAAGATTGCTATGTCTGTGTGTCAAGATGAAAGATTTAGGGACGGAGGAGGAAGGAGAGGCTGTAGCTATAGACGGTCTGTGGCGACTATTGCTACCTTTCTTTAGGCACCCACAAACATGACCTTTGTGTTGTAAGGGCTGTAAAACTGGGGGAGTTTTACTCTCCCATTGACACAATTTAGACCATCAAGTCAGTAAGTGAAGGGAAAAAAAAAGGAAAATTGCTTAAAAACCAAGAGAAGACAGGAATTTCAATTTACATCTAATGACAATTTTATTTCTTTGATTCAAACACAATCTTCGCCCATCTCCGATTCACTCAATGGAAAAGACAACTTTTATTCCTTCCTTCCTTCCACCCAATGAAAAAACACAAGTTACAATTTTTGATCTCGTCCATTCAATGAAACAATGACAACTTTCTCTCCTCTCCAATTCACTCAACGATAAAGCGTTTGTTTGTTTGTTTGTTGGTGTCTGATCCGTCACAACAACTTGGCAGTGACAAAAAGTTCTCCACACAACAGCTGCATTATATACGACGTCGACGTCATGACATCTCACTGACACATGACACCTCATTGACACATGACACCTGACTGACACGACAAACTTGTTGACATGTCAACTTACTGACGACAGACAACTGACATTGGCACAATCACATCCTGACACCAACATGACAACTTATTGACATAACAACATTCTGACATGACACATCAGTGACACTGACATGACAATTGAGTGACATGACGGCGAAAATTGAGTCATGCTGACATGACAACAGGAGCCTTTGTACCCACTAGCATCACTCAACACATATATATTTCTTTGTACAGACAACTTTAGTATAGACACAAACAAAAACACCATCATGGGACACAGATTCTAAAGACAACGCTCAAAACTATAATAGTTTTACCTGCACAATTCACAAACACAAATCTGTACACTGACATTTACACACACACAATTTTGAATATTTAAAGGTTCTCAACAAAAATAAATGAAGGAGAAACAAAACCAAAAAAATTAAAATATTTAAAAATGAAAAAAAAAACCCCACGACAAGTTAAATACTTGAACAGACGTAATCTTCACAACACAAAGGTACGCACGACACAAAAATGTATGTACAGCACAAAGACGTATGCATTTCTATAAATAAATCCACCTTCGGCTGAAACACCAACCAGCACAGCTTACAATGAAAAGAAAAAAACCACCTAAAAACAAAAAACCCACAAAAACTGAACACAAAAACCCAGACATTTTGATGCATAGAGAGACACAAACTGTTAAATTGTCTGTTCCAACAAGGGGCCTTGTCAGCAGAACCCACTATGAAAAAGAGTGATAAGAAACTACACAGGGCAGAGAACAAATTCATTCGATCAAGATCAATCATATACAAAGCTATTCATAGTTTAAAAATGGAGGGGGGTGGAGAAATTGGAAACAACCAAAGAGAATTATAGTAGTGGAAATAATAACAACAACAACAGTTAGAATATTTAACAAATATCAACCCCAAAAATCCAAAATATACGATCCGATAGTTTACAGCAGATTTTTCCACACCATATTCTACACAGGAAAAAAGGAAGAGGGTGTGTGGGTCATCAAAGTCTCCCTACCCCCTCCCCCCCCTCTCTCTCTCTCTCTCTGTGTTTCTCTCTCTCTCTGTGTTTCTCTCTCTCTCTCTCTCTCTGTGTTTCTCTCTCTCTCTCTGCGTTTCTCTCTCTCTGTGTTTCTCTCTCTCTCTGTGTTTCTCTCTCTCTCTCTCTCTCTCTCTGTGTTTCTCTCTCTCTCTCTCTCTGTTTCTCTCTCTCTCTCTCTCTCTTCTGAAACAAGCACATTTACACAAACATTCACACAACACACACACACATACAACACACACACACACAACACACACACACATACAACACACACACACATATGTACACACAATCCACCACTAAGGCTCCCTCCCCCATCCTTCATTTTTTCCCAAGAGAATACAAAACTACAATTATACAAAAGTAAAAAAACCATCATGTAAATGTACATCAAAGCACAACCGTACACAAGCAAAAACAAATATATATATATCAAATACAAAAATATGTGTAAACATAACATATACACTCACACATAAATTTTAATAAAACACAAGCAACAAAAAAAAAGAAAGAAGAAAAGAAAAAAAAAAAGAAAAATCTTCTTTGAAACGTTTGTCTATCCATCTGTACACTTTTCTCATTAAAAAGAACAGGGGTCAAATCGACCTTTTCAAAGAATTGATTCACGTGAAAATGACCAACAGCTTTCTAACTTAGCCTGGTATCCACATCATCTCCGTATATGTTTGTAATTAAATATAAATACATTTTACACCCAAATCAACACTTTTACACCCAAATCAACACATTTTACATCATTTAAGAGACAGGCTGCTCAACGCTGCCTGTCCTCCACTTCCCCATACATACACCCAAAAAAATTGTTTAATCTTTCAACAAAAAACAAACCAAAAATGCGCAGTAAGTAATCTCGACTCCCAGTCTGAGGCAATGAGCAGAACATCTTTTGGCCAATAAATGCTTCACTCGAGGGTTGGGGGGGGGGAGGAGACGGAGCCAGTTTGATTTATAAAACTTGTGTAAATAAAGTTAGTAAATCTCTGTATGTGTATAGGTAAAGTAAATGCTCTGTACAGCTCATTACTTGGCAGAAGCAGATGACAATTTTTCATAAAAATGACAACAAAAAAGATGTTGAAAAGTGATTGATTGTCACCCCCTCCCCCCACAAAAACCCCCCAAAACCCATGATAAAATTGCATGATCTCTGCATGAGCGGGGGAAATGAGCCAACAAATGCATAGCGGCCGTACAGCAAAGTAAGACTTCTGGTGGTAGAAAAAACCCAGACCACACCAAAACAAATAATTAAAAAATCACTGGATGGAAATGGACGACAGCAGACTTGAAGTAAGACACGAAATGGACGAAGAAATTAGAGAAAAAAAAAACATGTTGAAAACCGTTTGAAAAAAAAAACGGACCCAAAAAATGGAACTAATGGTACTTTCATTTGTACTGCTCAAGTACCACAACGATAATAATCATAATATAATATAATAGATCTTCTTCTTGTACCAAGAAATATATATCGACAGCCCAGTGTGCGATTCTGCCTTACGCCATTTTGAAAAGTGACGTGCGACAGAATCACACAGACTGTGGCAGTTGATCCGGGCAGTTGTGGCAGGATTAGATCTACATTACCCACATCACACAGACAGGAAGCTGTCGCAGGATTAGATCTACATTACCCACGTCACACAGACTGGGAGAAACGAAAACCGGACACACACAAAAATAGTTATCTAAGATCTCCCCCCTCCTCGTTTAGAGGTGGGAGGGAAAAAAGTGAAAGTTCCGAAATTGAAGATAGGCCGTTTTGTAAGAAGACACTTCAATGCAATGACACAATCTAAATGTTAGCAAAAACCTTTCCTGTACAAATGTTGGAGCGTATGTCAATGATTACGGTAAGTAAAAACGTGAACTGCTCATACAAGTACTGAATTATGTAGGAATATCCAACAATTTGGGAGGAAGGGAGGGAGACGGAGAGAAAAAATGGGGGGTGGGGGGAGGAGGGGGAGAAAGAGAGAGAGAGAGAGAGAAAAGAGGGGGTGGGTAAGAGAAAGAGAGAGAGAATGAAAAAGACAAAAAGAAAAAGGGGAAAAACAGAAAGAGGGACGGAGAGAAAAAGGGCAGAGATTGACAAAGAAAGAAGAAGGAAAAGCGGGAGAGAGAGAGAGAGAGAATGAGAAAGAGAGAAGGAAAAGAAAAAAAAACTTCCAACAAAACCCCCCTCAAACAGTGGTGACCATACAGCCGGGAGTCATCTCCCCTTCCTCCGACCGCGTGCTCGTCAGGTACGACTTCCTGCGCCGCGCCAGCAACATTTCCGTCTTGGTCATGGGCCGGTCGTCTTTGTCGTTGGTGTTGTCCCCATCATCACCACCGTCATCATCGTTGTTATCACCCACCCTCGTCGTCGCCGTTGTTGTTGAAGACTCGATGCCCATCGGTGTACCCGTGCGATTGTTCACGCTGTTGCTGTTGTTGTTGTTGTTGTTGATGATGATGTTGTTACTACCACCACCACCACCGCTGGTAGGATTCAGTTCAAGAATAAGACCATCGTTGCTGCTGCTGTTGTTGTAGTTGTTGCCCCCGGCAACGTTATTACTCGCAGCAGACGGAGGGCTATAATTAAATGGTGCTACAATGGCCGACGGGCTAGACTTGTGCTCGGGTCGCAGCGACCCACCGACGACCTTTGACCCCGCGGCCCCTGGGTTGGTGTTGACTCCCTGGTGACACACGGCGGGCACTCTATCCTCCTCCACCACCTCCCTGGTCGGAGACAAGAGGAGAGAGTTCGACGACGTTGCCGCAGCAACCGTGACCCCCGAGTCCTTCTGCTTCCCCCCGCCACCGCCGCTGGATTTATTCTTCCCCTTGGAGGAAGACGAGGAAGTGGAGCCGTCCTTCTCCTTGTTGGAGCGGCCCGAACCGAACAGTTTCTTCAAACTCTGCGCGACCTTCGACTTTGTCTTCCCCCCAGTTTTTTCCTCCCCTGACTTTCCTTTCTTCGAGCTCTTCGTCTTGTCTACCTCCTCCGAGTTGTCTGCCCCTGTGTGCCGCGACCCCCGCTGATCCGCTGCGGCGCCGACGTCCTCCCGACCCGCCAACATGGAGGACAGCGACGTGGAGGTCGCGCTAAGGTTGGCGCGCGCCGCGGGGGAACCCACCGAGTCGTTGAAGGAACACATAGATCTACACGTCTCGTCCGCGTTGGGGAGCGTCAGGTCACACGACGCGTTGTGTCCGCTCTTCTTCTTCTTGCGGAAAGTGCTGGAGTCGATGTTGTAGGAGGAGAGGGAGGAGGTGGTAGAGGGCTCTAGCCACTCAACAGAGTCGCTGGTCGAATCCACACACCTGTCCTTGACGACCCGAAAGCGAGCTTCTGACGAGGATGAATCGAAAACGTTGTCCAGGCTAGAGTTTCCTTCATAGCGCCCCGCAGCAACCTCGACATCATCATCATCATCGTGGTCGTAGTCGAAAGAGCGGTCGCTGACATCCTCATCATCATCGTCGTTGCAAAGTTCGAAAACCTCCCCTCTCCTCACTCCCGTCTCCGGCGAGTCAAAACTCCCTCCCCTCTCCTCCTCCCTCCTCACCACGGCCGAACCACCGCTCCTGTTGCTGTTGCTGCTGTTGCGGTCGCTCCCTCCTCTCCGGAGGTTGCCAGGAGCCGCCCGCTGCTGCCCACCGCCCACCGCGTTCCTCGGAGCGCCTGTCGCGGTCAGGCTAGAGATTTTCTCGTAGGTTGAGCTTTTGCTGATCCCGTCGAGCAGCGAGTGAGACTTGCCAGAGCTGCCCAGCCCGCAGTTGGTGGGGAGGGTTGCCGCTTTGGCTCTCACCCCCGAAGGAGGCAGGCTGCTGGGCTTGTGCTTCCCTGGCGCGCTGGCTCCTCCTGGGGGCGTCTTCGTGAAGACAGGGAGGCGCGAGGAGGAGGAGGAGCAGGAGGAGAGAGGGCTGTCGCGACTGGGGGAACGGTCAAGGCTGCCGTCTCGCTTCCACAGACTGGCGATTTTACTGGCCACCTGTGGGGAGAGAGAGATGTAGATAGATTGTACATTTATACATAACACATACAGGCTGGCGATTTTACTGGCCACCTGGGGGGGGGGGGGGGAGGGGGATGGATAGATATATTATACATATGAATAGATACGTGTTTGTATATTTACATATAACACCTACAGGCTGGTGATTTCACTGGCCACCTGGGGGGAAAGAGAGAGAGATAGAGAGGGAGTTGTAGATAGATGGATGGACATATGATCGTTTTTAAGGACAAGCAGGCTTATCCAAATATCGGGGATTTCCAGAAATCTTGACCTACACCAAAAGTGGGCATCCTGCCTATAGGAGAAGTTTGGTTTTTAGAAAAAACGCTCCTTGTCTTTTAAAGAGACTGAATAAGGATCCAAAAACTTTCACTTCCAAAAAATAAATAAGAAAATATAAAAATAAATAAACAAACAAATAAATAAGTAAATAAATAAGTAGATAAATAAATAAATAAGTAAATAAGTAAGCAAATAAATATGTCAATAAACAAGTTGCAGACACAATGAGTACTGGCATGAACTCTGGTACGACCCAGGCCAGAGGCAGAGAGGGAAGTGGGGCTAAAAATAGGCCGCTGTTGGGCAGGTAAGAAACATGAACCGTGACAAGTAACAATCACCCTGGCCCACTCACCTGTTTCTTGCCCACGGTGCCGGGCGGAGTGCGTTTGTTCGAGTCCGAGGATGGTGACGAACCGTCTGACCTTCGGGGGGTCGGGATCCCAGAACCGGATGAGTTGGACGCACGCCGCACGCCATTACTGCCGCCTGCGGGGCTCGTTGAATGCTGATTGGTTGCTTGGTGCAGGCTGTCGCTGGATGAACGGTTCCCGCTGTGGTTGGACGCCCCTGTTCTATTATTAGCCACCTGCGACGGGGTCTGGGGACTTTTCGTATTCCCGTTGTGCGGTTTCGCAGAGTGCCCAGTTTTGCCGCCGGAAGCGGGCGACACTCCGGAAGAAACGCTGCCCCCAGATCTACGATCGCCGGCGCTGCTGGGTCGGCTTGTACTGTTATTTGGCCCGACCTTCCCACCGGGATTCGACCTCCCGCCTTGTCGTGGGGTGGGTAGGGCAGAGGGTGGGGACCCCCCGACACCACCACCACCACCAGTCGTGGGAGGGACTGCCACAGCGACCACACCACCGTTGGGAGCTTTGAGAGCGCGGCGCACCGACGGGGGTGCGTCTTTGGCGTTCCTCTGCATCTGCATCTGCTTGTAGACGGGCTGGACGTCCTGACCGCTGTCCACCACAAAGTTGAACGAGTCCAGGGCCTTGCTCCATGAACCAGGCACGGTTCTCGACGAACCACCACCACCACGGTTGCTGCTGCTGTTACCAGTCTCACCTCCAGAGTCTAACGAACCTGAAGAGAACCGGTTCGGACCCCCTTCTGCTGCTGCTACGGTAGACGACTTTTTCTCCCTCATCATCACTTGCCCCTGATGTTCTTTATTCTCCTTATTCTCACTCGACGGCGGCGACGACGTTAGTTTTCCGTTGTTCGCCACAGACGAGGGGGAAGAATTCATCCCCGCTGCCGATTTCTTCGAGGAAGCAGGGGGACCAGACATGTTTCTGCGCGCGGTGGAGTTGTTAGCAGGCCTACCTGGCGTTATGGAGGTGTTGGAGGGTCTGGCCGGCGAAGCGCTGGCAACTCTACCCACTGCGCCGCCAGACGGAGGTGAGGTCTTGCCGGCCGGGAGATGCTGGCCGTTCACTCCGCGCTGTGACAGCCTGCCACCCGGGTTCGAACCTCCACCCCCTCTCCCGCGGCCCGCCGGCTTGTTCAAGTTATTCATCCCGCCATGGGAGGAGGAAGAGGAAGCGCCTCTATTCCCCGCGCCCGGTCCACCCACCAACCGCCCTCTTGCAGCACCAACAGTCGTGGATTTCTCTCTAGGACTTCCATTTCCGCTCGCAGGTTTGGAACTTCCAACCTCCTTCCTCGCCCGGGGAGAGACCTGAGCTACGTTACCGCCTTGCTCTGTTCCTTTAGGGGGCGTTCGCTTCACGCCGTTCACCGCACCACCTCGCTGGGATCCGAACCCTGGCTGGTGCCCTCCACGCCCACCAGGGGCGCCTACCCCTCTACCTACTGCACCACCACCACCGTTGCCGTTAGTAGCTTGACGTAAACCACCTCTCGCCGATGCAACACCTGCACTGTTACCTATGGCAACCGCACGTTTGGCGCCGGGGTACAGCGGCTTCCTGCGCCCTCTCACCGCCTTCTCGTCCACTTGTTTCTGTGCGACCACGCCCATCACACCCCTACCTCGGGGCCCTGGTTTCACGATCTTGGGCCGACCTCTTCCCGCTGCCATGCCGCCGGGCGCCTGGCTCTGACCGTCGGCCAGGGTGGCGGTCGCCGAGGAGAAATCGCTCATCCTGTCCGAGGTGTTGGACCACGTCGCCGAGACTTCCGAGTTCGTATCCGAGGCGTAGTCATTGGAGACCAGCGAGATTGTCTCGTTCTCGATGAACAGATCCTCGTCTACCGTACTCCCGCTCATCTTATTCGTCTGAATCTCGGACACGATAAGGTTCACGTTCTCCTCAAGGAGGAGGGAGGTCTCCTCCGAGAAATTCTGTCCGGAAAACGGGACTTGATCGTATTCGTCCCCCAGATAATCATCATCATCATCTTCCTCTTCTCCTTCCTCGTCTTCGTTGTACGTGTAATACCTCACCTCATCCTCCCCTTCACCATCGCTGTCTTCCTCCACATCCTCCTCATCAAACTGTTCGCTGTACCTCTCTCCTCCTTCCCTCCCGGAAAGTTGCCCTCCTCTCTCTCTATACCCATCCCCACCATCTACTCTTCTGTCTTCCATCTCCTCCTCTTCATCTTCCTCATCCTCCTCGGCTTTCAGGGTCATGTTCGATATATCGCTGACGATGCCGCTGATGTCCCGACCCAGATCCACCGACATGTCTGAGTCTGCTGTGACCTCCACGACCCCGTGACCCCCGAACACGGCAGCATCGATGTCTGCGTCGTCCTTCAAGGCCAGCAAGCCCGCCATACTGTCGTTGGAGATCTCGCGGACTCTGGCGGCAAAGTCACTCACGTTCTTCTCCGTGTCGCATTTCTCGGCGCTGGAGCTGCTGCTGCGGTTGCCCACATCACGACCACCGTCGCCCACGGCAACACGACCACCACTGCTACCACCAACACCACCGCGACTGCTGCTACCATCGCCAGAGCCACTTCTAGAGGCCGACACCCTGAAAGGAACAAAATAAATGGCTGGGTGAAGAGGGGAACGGTTTGTTTTGTTTTAGTAGAAGTTTTTAAGGCGCTCGCAAACTACAAAAGAGGTAGAGGGACAAATGACGATAGTAAGGATGAGGAAGGAAAAAGCAGGAGTTCCCCCTCTGTTGTTTGTTGTTTAGTAGAGGTTTTACGGCGCTCGCAACTGCATAAGGTCATAATAAGAGTGCCAAGGGGTGGATGTCAACAGAGAAGTCCAAACGGGGAATCAGACTTACTCTGCTCACCTCTCTAGCCTCAACAGCACAAAGTCTGCTTCAACTATCAAGGCACCCCTGAAATAGTGGGTCACAAGAGTGTGACAAACACAAAAGAAGTTGAGGAAAAAGGATGATACTAAGGATTAGGAAAGAAAAAGTAGTAGTTCCCTGTTGCAGGTCAGGCACAGTTATGAGCGTGACATTGATGCATCAGCGCATTTACAATTCTACAGTGCATAAGAACATGTTAATGCCCCCTCTTTGGGAAAGGCCTAAAGACACTTCAGTCAGTGGCACTGCCCGGGGGGGTAGCACACAAAGACACTTCAGTCAGTGGCACTGCCCGGGGGGTAGCACACAAAGACACTTCAGTCAGTGGCACTGCCCGGGGGGGAAAGAGAAACAAACTTCATACAAGACTAGAGTTACAGTAAGAGTTTTACGGCACTCGCAACACAATAAGGTCATATAAGTGCCGAAGATTACAGGTGTTACAAGAGAGTGACATACACAGAAAAGAAGGAGACAAGGGTGACAGGTTTCTGATGTGAAAGACGGAGCAAATCACACGACCCCAGCACTGACCTCTGCTCTGTGCAGAAGTTCTGAACCTCCGGGCACTAACATTTTTTTTTTCTTAAGAGTTTTACGGCACTTGCAACACAATAAGGTCATATAAGTGCCGAAGATTAGAGGTGTTACAAGGGAGTAACAAACACAAAATAGAAGGAGAGATCAGGACGACAGATATTCGAGAGGAAAGAAGAAGCAAACCACACCAGAGCACCCGCCAACCACCCACAGACAAATAAACAAACCAACAAACACTGACCTCTGCTCTGTGTAGAAGTTTTGAACCTCGCGGCAGTAAAAAACAAACAGACAAACAAACCCACAAACAAACACAAAAATGACCTTGGTACTGACCTCTGCTCGGTGTAGAAGTTCTGCACCTCGGGGCAGTCCCTGACCGCGTCCAGCGAGTCCAGCGAGCCCTGGTATCCGCCCCACGCCCCTCGGCGATTCGCCTGTGCCAGCTTGTTGCTGATGTCCTTCTGCATCTTCTGGAAGTTCTCGCTGTCCTGGGAGTGCGAGCGATAGCGCGGCCCGCCGCCTACTTCTTCCCCCGCTCCTCCGCCGCGGTGCGACGACGATGAGGTGTAGGAGTCTGGCTGCGCAAGCCCGTGCGTGGTGTGAGCGTCTTCCTGCGACATGCGCCGCTGTCGTCTCCAGCTGCTGTAGCGAGACTGTCGTCTGCCGTGGGCGTGCGGCGGGTGCTGCTGGTGAGGGTCAGGGGGAGGGAACTCTAGCTCCAGTTCAGTCGTGTCCGAGCAGCTACGAGTCATCAGTTGCTTCTCGTAGCCCCCACCCCCACTGTTATAGTAGCCACCGCTACCACCGCTGTACCCAAGGTCAAGGTCGCGACTTCCGTCTAGCGAGCTCTGAGACCCGCTAGCCGAGTGGGCGCCCGACGGGTGTTGGTGGTGTCGGCTGCCGCTGTGGTGCCGGGACACAGACGATGACGACCCAGATAACTGTGACGACGACGATAACATCATCCCTGATGACGACACGCCACCACCACCGACAGCGCTGGGGATCTCCAGCGAGGCGCTCTTCGTGATCCCTCCGTGACCCTGACCCCTCGAGTTGACCCCACCGCGACCTCCGTTCCCACCAGCACCAGCGGCACCTTTCTGTATGGAGAACTTAGCGCGCGTGTGTCTGCGTGCGTGTTCCTCGCCGCGTGGGATCCTCGACTTCGGCATGGCCGCGTTGATGCACTGTTCCAGCAGCGCTTGTTCTGACGGTGTGGGGTCGCAGTCGGCCAGCTCGTCATCATCATCATCATCATTGTCATCTCTCGCACGTAGCCCCCTGCCTACCATCGCTTGCGACGAAGAAGGGTTCGAACCCTGGCCCATCACCGCGGTAGAGCCAGCAGCCGTTCCCTTCACATCTTTCTGCGGACGACCGTTGGTGGATTGTCTGTCTGCGGTTGTCGATGTAGCAGCCGCGCCAGAAGTTCTCTCCCCTTGATCAGAGCTATTTAAAGAACTGAGAGAAGAGTTGCGAGAGAAGCAGACGGGCGTGTCCTCCACCGTGAATTTGATTGGCTTATCTCCCTTGTCGCCAGCCACGCTGCTATCCTCGCTGGACTGACCAATCACGTGGCGCTCGCCCTGCGGGAGACAGCTGCCTGCGTAGTCGTCCTCCGCCTCATCAAGGTCGCACGCTGCCGAGAGCGCAGAAAGGTAGCCGGAAGGCACGAGGTTCGAACCCACACCACCACCTCCATGTGAAGGTTTGTGTGCCGGTGCGAGGAGCGGGCCCGGGGCGACACCCATCATCGATCCGTCATCATTGTAGCAGCGGTCGTCCACATCACCGCCGCCCAGCGAGGAGAGAGAGTCGCTGCGGGAGAAAGTGACGGGCGTGCCCTCCACTCCGTACGTGTGTAGCGTGTCATTGGACGGGGGCGAAAACGTGCCACCACCACCACTATTGCTGTTGTTATAAGGGTCACCCATTCTCGCTACATCCACCGACTGATGTTGATTATGTTGCTGCTGCTGTCGTTGCTGTTTCTTGACACCCCCACCAGCAGACATACCACCCCCACTACCCTGAGCTCTGTTCACCTTCTGCCCACCCACTCCTTTCCCCTCTCTCTGAGCCTGCAATCCTCCATTACCAGACGCTGAAACAACGCCCGCTGTGTTCGAATGTTCGATCGAGTCGATCGTCAAATCGCTCAACGAGGTCGCTGCGGAAAAATTCCTGGGCGTTCCCTCGACGTTGTAGGTCTTCACCGTATCCACGGCGATGAAATCGGTGAAGGGCGCCACTAGGGTGAGGTTGGACGTGCGCGGGACAAACGCTGACAGGTTGCAGTCTCGGCTGTTGGGTTTTCCCGACCCTCCTCCTCCGTTATCGTCAGGGCCACCTGGCAATGCTGAATTATCGCTAGGATCGCCTCCCCCGCCCCCACCACCACCACCTCCGCCAGACTTCCTCGAGTTCTTATTCTTGGGCATGCCAGATTGGATCATCTGCGACAGAAGCAGTTCCTCACTCTCCTCACAGACCGAACTGTTGTCGCTTTTCGCGTCGTCACCGGGTGATTTCCCCGACGAAGACGACGATTTCTTCGGCGAGTTGGAACTCTGCGTCAGCATGCTGAGGTCGCTGAGCGAGGTCGCGGCCGAGAAGTTCAAGGGCGTGCCCTCGGTGGCGTACGACTTGACGTAATCCTCGCTGAAATCTGCATACTCTTCCACGTCCTGCATCATGGGAAGTAGGCCCGTCTGGGAAGTTTTCCCAGAATTCTTTGTCATCGCTGTCGTTGTTGATGATTGTGGTGGTATTGTTGAAGCTGCCGCTGCAGTTTTGGCGGCCTTGTTGAGGATGGGCGTGAGGTTCTTGCTTGCTGACGGTTTTGTTGCATGATGTGCGGTGGCAGAACCTTGTCTAGACGCAGACTTGGCCGTCTGTTGACTGCCCGACTGCTGTTTTACCGACTGCTGCTGCTGCTGTTGGCTGTTGCTGTGGGTAGAACCCTGCGACGCAGCCGCTGTTGAAGCTTTGGCAGCTGACGACGACGATCCCGACTTCGGACTATTCCCCTGGTGACGGGAGGAAGAAGAAGAAGAAGACTTTGAACCTTCGGGTTTACTGCTACCGCTACCACTACTGTGTCGCTGGCTTTTTGAGGAGCCCGACGGCCGAGGGGGTTTCGAAGCGGACGACGACGACGAAGGCGAACTCTGACCTTTACCCCCAGCCGCCGCTGCCGCCCCTACCCTCGACGAAGACGACCTCTGACCTCCTCCCGTATGTCCACCAGCTGTCTTTGACCCCCCGCTACCTGCGGCGGTTTTACCTGCGGCAACAGAAGAACTCGCCGACGATGAAACAGTTGCGTCAGATTTGGTGGGGATCCCCGACGATCGTCTCTTGGCGTTTCCGTCGGACGAGGGTCGGCGCGGCTTGCGGGCCGAGCTGGTGGGCGTGGGCATGCCCGAGCTGATGCACTGCGCCAGGATGTCCTCTTCCCCCTCGGAGACTTCCGACATTGACGAGTCTTTGTCTTCCTGTTTGAGCTGCTCTGTCGCGGGGGACCATGGCTTCACGCCGCTCGCCCCAGACGCTGATGATGTTGTTGTTGTTGTTGTTGCTGTTGCCGCAGATTGTTGCTGCTGATGTTGTTGTTGTTGTGCTGGTGATGCTGAGGGAAGACTTTGCGCTGCTGCTGCTGATAATGAGGCTGATGTGGTTGTTGGATGTGCAGCTGATAATGAGGCTGATGTGGTTGTTGGATGTGCTGCTGATAATGATGCTGATGTGGTTGTTGGATGTGGTTTGCTTTTGGGTGCTGAGGAAAAAAACACAAAGAAATTTTCAAAAAGACTGTCAATTTTTTTGTTTTAGTACGAGTTTAACGGCACTTGCAACACAATAAGGTCATATAAGCGCCGAAGATTAGAGGTGTTACAAGCGAGTAACAAACACAAAAAAGAAGGAGAAGAGATCAGGGTGATAGATGTTTGATAGGAAAGAAGGAGCAAACCACACCAGAGCACCCACCAACCACCCACTGTCAATTTTTTTCACCCATATTGACGTGATGTAGGTCATTTCAAGGGCAGGCGGCGTCCATTCCGGGAGAGTGGAAAGGTTGAATTTCACATTTTTTATTTTTTTCCTCCTTCATCTACCCACTTTAGATGCTCAATAACTGTAGAAAGGGACACGTTGACAACAGACTTGTGTGCTTCCTTTTCGTTACTCAGGGTTCATACTGAGCACGAGATTTTTTTCCCCCAAGACTTTTCCAAGAGTTTTCAAGACCAGACTTCTTTTTTCCGAGACAAATAACGTGTCATTTCGGAAGAAAATTTTTCGTTCAGCATGCACAAATCCATTATGATACACTTCAGAGTGCGTTAAGTCTAAGCCTTCTAAACTTCGGGGCAATAATATTTTTACAATACATCTAGTTTAAAATTTGTTTTTTCCAAGAACTTTGAGGTTTTAGTTTTAGTTTCAGCAACAGTTTTACGGCATTTGCCACACAAATAGGCCCTAGAAGAAGCTCTAGAATACCTCCATATCAGCAACCATACGCTATAGCACTCACCTAGATCTGACGAAGAACTGGGCGGTGGGAGCATCTGCGTGCCCCAGTCTCTTTCCTTGACCTTGGGAAGATTCGGCTCCTCTCCCTCCAAGGTCATTGATCTTGTCGCTGCCGTGATGGCCTTGACCCCTGACCTTGCGAGCTCGTCCCTGTCAAAGCCGGAAGAAGTGGCCATGACATTGTTAGCTTCACCGCGGCTTTCTGACGACGAGGATTTCTGTGTTAGCCGAGAGGTGAGCTCTTGTGATGAGGGTTGGGGCTGGGACGACAGTGAGTTTTGTTGTTGTTGTTGCTGCTGCTGATGTTGCTGTTGTAGGGGATCTCTCGAGTGTGCAGGGAACCTGCGAGTGGGTGTGGGAGGGGCGGGTAAGGAGGATGATGACGAGGAGGGGAGCGCTACTGCTTGCTGCGAGGTGGTGTGGGATGAGTTAGGAGGCTGGCTGCCTCCGTATCCTAGGTAACTGTGGTGTGGGTGCTGAGGATGTTGTTGTTGTTGCTGTTGTTGTTGACTGGTCCCAGAGCGAGGCGGGGGAGGTGGGTGGACCAAATCATCCCCCGCTGTCTTTGTCGCCGACAATAGAGAACCGGGCACAGACGTCTGCTGGGACAAGATATTCTGACCCGCACCAACCACCGCCTCACCACTTGTTGTCGTTGTTGCCGCTGACGACGAAGAAGGAGGCATCATCCTCATCATCATCATCATGGAAGCCGGGTATCCGTACGGGTCGCTAGCATTACGCTCCATCGCCGCTGTCGACCCCTGACCCTGTCCGCCACCTCTGGTGTGACCCACTGCCGATGACGACCGGAGGTCCAGGTGATCCACGGACAGAGTATCCTCCCTTGCCTCGTCCATGGTCAGGCCGCTGAGACTGGTGGTCTCAGAGAGGTTGGTGGGTGGCGTCCCTTCCTCTGCGTAGACCACGGGCACCTCCGACTTGCTAGACGACGACTCTGTCTCGGCCGACTGCTCGACTAGCGTGGGCAGTGTGGCAGTCCGGCGCTGGGACGAGGTTGGGGGCGTGCTGGGGGTGGCGGTCGGCCCAGTTGCCGCTGTGACCGCGGGGAGGTGCTTTTGGAAGGTGCTGAAGGTCAAGGGCGGGGGCTCGTGTTCCCGGTGGAACGAGGAGAAGTCGATTGGTCGGTCCTCTTCCTCGTCGAAGCCGGGGAACCCACGGAGCATGGGCATCTCTTGGTTCCTGGGGGGGTAGGACGGTCGCAAAAGGTCAAAATTTATCATAATTTTGTCATTACAGGCGTTTTATGTCCCCTCCACACAAAATTAGGTCCCATATCATTCAGGAGGTCCGCTGTCTATAAGTTTTTGAATAAAGTTTTACAGCACTTGTAACACAAGCAGGTCATATAAATGGCGAAGATTAGAGGTGCTACAAGAGAAACATGCAAAGAAAAGAAGCAACAGAGAGAAGGACGAGAGATATTTGATGGGAAAGAACGAGAAAACCACACTAGAGCACCCGCCAACCACCCACCCACTGACACGACCAAACAAACGACACACCATGACACGACACAACACGACATGACACAACACGGCAAAACGAACGACACGACGGACTGACCTCATGGCAAAGTTGATGGGTTTGTCCTCCTCGTCGAAGGCGGCAAAGTTGACGAAGGGCTCTGGCTTCACGCTGTTGGCGGCCTTGTGGAACTCCAGCGACACTTTGGTGGGGCCCTTGGGGGGCGCGGGGCTGGGGAAGTCTCGGAACCTGCTGGTGGGGGAGGGGGGTGGGGGGGGGGGAATGATAGAATTATGGGCAATTAGTAAAAGTTTCGTGATTTTTTAAAGCTTGAGAGTCCTCGGAAACTGAAAATTTACATTTGTTGTGCATTTGATCAATATTTTTCAGTAAAATGTACACAGACATTTTTTCCATAGACATAGAAGGTGTTGAGCCAAAAAACAAAAATTAGTTTAAAAAATGGACAAACTGGAGGACAATGCTGATATCTTCAATTTCATTATTTTGTACAGCGCCTCATTTCACCACGATGCCTCACATATAAAAATGTTTATACAAAGTTAACTATGTGTGTATGTGTATGTTTGTTGTACGTGTATATGTGCGTGTGCGCGTGTAGGTCATTGGGCCATGCATATATCTATTAATAGAAACTTGCTTACCTTCGCGTGGGGGAGTGAGCGCGGCGTGGGCTGGGCGGCATGGACTCGCTGGGGGAGTCTGGGATCTCGCTAGGGGAGACCACCTCGCTGGCCCGCCGACTGTACTCGCTGACCACGGAGCTGTGCACCGACTGAGTGTCCAGCGAGCTCAGGGACTCGGGCGAGCTGGACCGAGAGAACATCAGAGGGGTCTCTTCCACCTGGTCAAAGAGGATGGAGGGGGAGGGAGGGGAGAATAAAAAACAGTCATTAGTTAAAGCAAAATAATCATAGAAATAAAATTATAATAAATATAGGTGGTCACTGATGAGAGCAAAATGAAAATAACAATGAATAACAAATAAGAATTGTTAGTTTTAGTAGAGGTTTTAAGGCGCTGGCAACTGCACAAGGTCATATGAGCGCCAGAAGATTAGAGGTGTTACAAGAGAGTAACAAACGCAAAAAAGGACGGGAGATAAAGACGACAGATGTTTGGAAGGAAAGAAGAAGAAAACCACACCAGAGCACCCGCCAACCACCCACTATCAATGGCTAAAGCAAAATGATGATAAACATACAAATTATAATGACTAAACGTGGTCATTGATTCAGGCAAAAGGAATAAATATAGCAATAATAAATAACAAATAAAAGCAGTCATTGGTGAAAACAAAATGAATGTAAACATAAGTAACAAAGAAAAGTGATTACCGGATATCGTCAAATGAAAGTAACATTAAAATAATGAATAAAGAGATGGTCAACAGAAGGGGGTCATTGGTTATATATTTTTTAAAATGAAAATGAAATAAAATAATGAATTTAAAAAATCAAGAAAGTCAGACAAAAGAGGCTATTTGGTGATTTACCCACCTGGTGGTTTTCGTCAAAGGTCACCGTCTTGCTCTCGCGCTCCGTCTTGTTGGGCAGGGGCGGGTTATTTCGCCTCATGCTGGAGCCCCCGCCAGCCGCCCGAGTCGCCGCAGCGTTCTTGTTCTCGATGACGGACACGACGAGAGCCTCGGGCGTGTCTGGTTCGTCCAGGCTACCGGAGTCCTGGGGGGGGGGTAACAGAATGGGGTTATATGCAGCTAGTGTTTTACAGCACTCGCAAGACAATTAGGTCATATAAGATGAGAGGTTTTACTAGAAAGTAACATACACAAAAAGAAGTAGAGGTAAGATTCAGTTTTTAGTAAAAGTTTTACAGCACTTGAAACACAATAAAGTCATACAAGTACCGAAGATTAGACGTGTTACAAGAGAGTAACAAAGACAAAAAAGTGAGGAGAGGTAAGAATTAGTTTAACTGCACTTGCAACACAATTAGGTCATACAAGTGCCGAAGATTAGAGGTGACCTGTGTTACTAGAGAGCAATAAACACAAAAAAGAACAGATAAGGAGGATAGATGTTTGATAAGAAGAAAAGAAGGAGCAAACCACACCAGAGCACCCACCAACCACCCACAGAGCATACATAGATGTGTTCTGTGAGAAGATGTGAACAAGTCAAAGTGTTTGCCATCCCTCTCAAATGTACCGTCCGTCTCCCATAGGACTGAGCCTTCCATCTAGTGTTCAGGGTTCATACTGAGCAGGAGACTTTTTTCCCCCAGGATTTTTCCAAGTGTATTCAAGAACAGATTTCTTTTTTTTTCCACGACAAATAACGTGTCATTTCAGAAGAAAATTTGTTCTGGTGTGGTATTTTTTTATTCAGAATGCATAAAGTAGAATCCTTCAAAACTTCGAGGAAATATTTTTACAGTAGATCTAGTTAAAAATTGTTTTTTCAATACTTTTCCAAGAATTTTGTCAATTTCCCAATATTCCAAGAGTTTTTCATGTCTTTGAAAATAAATACAAAATTCCAAGTGTTTTCCAGGTTTTCCATGACCAGTACGAATCCCGGATGATGATCCACACTGTCTCCTATATGAGCTTATTAGTGTTGTTTGCGGGGGGGGGGGGGCTAAAAACACAAACATAAAAACAATATTCCAAACAAAACAAACTCACCTTCTCCCCCTGCCTCGACTCGGCCATCCCTCCATCCTCCTCCTCCTCCACGGTCCCTCCCTCCTCCCGGCCGGCCGGGGAACCCACCTCCCCGGTCAGACTGGCCGACTTTCCCCCCGACGTGTCACGACGCGCCTCGCTACTGTGTAGACTGCTGAGCGACGACACGCGAGAGAAACACACCGGGGTGCCTTCCTCGTAGTAGGTGCGGGTCTGGTCCAGGGCGCCTGGGGGGGGTTGGAGAGTTATAGATGAGAGTGTTACGCCACTTGCAGCACAATCAGGTCATATAAGTGACAAAGATTAGAGGATTTATTAAGAAAGTAACATACTAAGGAAAAACAAGTTTAGTTTTTAAGTACAAGTTTTACTGCGCCCTACAAGTTTTACTGCACTTGCAAATCTCCACCCACAAACTGACCTGTACCATCACTCACCCTGGTATCTACCCGCAAAATAAAACCACCAACGCCAACCGAACCGAACCATCAGACACCTTCATTTCCACCCGCACCCACAACCAAACAAATTCATCACTCGTCATCCTGTCCACCCGCAAAACAAAACCACGGAAAACCAAGCCGAACCCCACCCGAATCGAACCATCACTCACCCTCGTTGGAATCAGCGTGAAAGTTCTGATGGAGCGAGGTCCCCGTCTCTCGAGCTGTGGGGTCTGGCTGAGATTCAAACGCTGTTGACAGATTGGGGGGGGGGGGGGGGGGGGGGGGGGGGCAGGCGAGACCACACAATGAAAATTCACCAAAAACATGGACTTTTACCACAGTAAAATTTTAATTCATAATCCTATAATCTGATGGAAAACAAAAAACAAGCAGAAAGAGTGAGATACTCGATGAAAATCCTTCCCACTCGAGAACTGTCTCCACACAATAACAGTCATTTAGTGCAGGAAAAAGTACAAATTAAGAAATAACAAATAAAGTACTGATGTAGCAGGATCTTGATCTACCAGTGGCACCATCAAACCATCCAGGACTTTAGACAAGACAGAAAAAACCCCGAAACAAACAAATGTCTTTTTTTTTTTTAGTAGAGGGTATTACGGAGATCGCAACTGCATAAGGTCATATGAGCGCTATAAATTAATGTCTTCAAATGACATCAATGTGACAAAAACATCACATACAAATGGTCAAAGATATGTTGACATAAAACAACAAATTAAATATAAGTCAAAAACTAAAAGATAAAAAATGAAATACACATAAAAAATAAAAATGCAAAAAATATAACAAAGATTTAAAAAAGTAAATCCAAAAATTAAAACCGTAAAAAAAAAAAATTAAAACCCCACAAAAAAACAAAAACAATCAAAGATAAAATGCAAATAAAAGAAAACAATAAAAAGAAAACTCACAAATAAAGATTAAAACCAAAAAAACCCACAACCCCCCACAAAAGGAAAAAATAAAACGTAAAAAAAGAACAGACACAGACCTGATCGTAGCGCGGGCCCCACCACAACGGTAGACCCTGTGTGTCTGTCCGTGGTCTGACTGCCTGAACTGCTAGCCCCGGGGTCGGCATCGACCCTCAGACCCCCGCCACACACGGCAGTCGCTGAAGTGGCAGAGGTGGTAGCATCCATCTCACTGTCCCCTGCCGTCAGCGTGCGATCCCCGTCCAGCAAGGTCGTGTTTTTACACGTGTCGTCAAGGTCTTTTGTTGTATCGCCCGTTATTGAGGAAGAGTTTATGATAGCCGACGCGTTGCTGTTACTGCTGTTGTTGTGGTTGTTGTTGTTGCCGGAGGAAGCAGAGATAGAGATGTTGCCCACACGACCACCACCACTTTCGGCAGAAGCCATCGCCGTGCGACAGTCATGATGCGTGCGACACTTCCCAGAGTTATTCACCCCTCCTCCTCTTTGACCTTCACCCTCTTCCTCTTCGTCTTCCTCCTCCTCCTCCTTCCCGTGCTGCGTCAGATCGGTGAGGGAGGTCGCCGTGGACAAATAAGGCGTGCCCTCGGTGCAGAATGTGCGGACTTGATCGTCGTTCGAGCTGTTATCCAACTGTTCGTTAGCGCGCCGCGCTTCGGCGTATTTACACTCAACGCAGTGCTGTTCGTCGCGATACGGATGAGAAAGACCGCCACCTGTCCCTGCTCCTCCTCCACTGTTAGCTCCTCCCCCTGCTCCGCCTCCCACAACATTAGCCCCGCCCCCACCGCTACCACCCCCAGATCCACCACCACCAGCGTTATTCTCCGCGGCAGAATCACGATACCTCAAGGAGTAGTTGATGGGCTGTTCCTGATACTCGGATCGACAATCCGCCTCGGATACCTCGTTATACCGCAGGCTGAAGTCCGTGGGCTGATCCACGACAGAGTCGAGATCCGTCTCGGCGTAGGCGCTGAGCTGCTGCATGGTCTGCAGACGTAGCGACGGGCTGTTCTGGTGGGCGGCCGGCATGGGCGAGGAGCCGGGGAATGGAACCCCCGCAGCATGGTGGAACATCTTGCCCTGCCCCCCGACTACATAACCCCCTACACCACCCACCACGCTCGGCGAGGAGCCCGACAGGTGGCCGGGGGGCAGAGAGGAAGTGTTCCCAACGCCGCCGCTGCTCAGACTAGACAATTCCGAGGAAGGGAGATAACTCCCGGGATATCCACCGCCGCCGCCATGATGGTGTAGCACACTCGACGAAGACGACAATGGGTTCACAAACGGCTGCATCTGGTTCGCGGAGTGATGACCTTGAACACCTCCACCTCCTCCAGGAAACGGTCGATGGTAGCCCAAACCTGCCGAGAATCGCCCGTGGTTCGCCGAGTTGTTCATCCCACGCATCGGCGACGAGATGAGGGCCGGGTTCATCATCAACGAACCACCACCACCAGTACTACCGGCCGGTTCGTGCATCATGTTGTGACTCAGATCTCCCTGCGAACTGGGCCCGACCCTGAAACCCCCCGTAGCGCTGGTGTTGCTGTTGTTGCTGCTGCTACTGATGGCTGTGTGGTGGTGCAGCCCCCCGTAGCCGGCAAAGTTCTGATCGGACCCCGTGCCCCCCGCGGCCACAATGGCCGAAGTAGGAGGCTGGCTGTCCTGGTACTTGAGGCTGTAGTTGACCGGTTGGTCCACGTCTGTCTCTAGGCTGGACAGATTGGACATATCTCCTCCACCGTCTCTCGACATTGCAACACCTGGGGGAAGAGAAGGTAAGGTAATTTTTTTTCTTTTTTTTTTTAGTAGAGGTTTTACAGCGCTCGCAACTGCATACGGTCATTTGAGCGCCAGAAGATTAGAGGTGTTACAAGAGAGTAACAAACATAAAAAAGAAGGAGGGGAGATAAGGACGATTGATGTTTGATAGGAAAGAAGAAGCAAACCACACCAGAGCATCCATCAACCACCCACAACGTAAGGTAAGGTAAGTGAGATAAGGAAAGATAGATTAGGCAAGACATCGAATTATAAGACAGGATAAGATAAGATAAAGTATGATGCGGTTATAAGATAAGATAGGATAAAATAAGATAGAAATGAATAATTACTGATAACAATTAAAGAAAACTTTTACAGGAGACGGAGGTAACCATTTCAGTCATTCACAATTGTACCTACTTTATGTAAATTTCCTTCTTTTTTTTCTTTTTTCAACATTTAAAATATAAATTTCAGCAATATTTTCCGACTACATACAACCGATACCATAACTTAAGAAACTAATTTTTTTTTTTAAAGAATTAAAATTTTGGGCTTAGTTCATAATAAAACAACTGGTCGATGTTATCACAAAAAAAATAATTTTTTAAAAATCGTAGCGTTGCACATTCTACCACCTGGCCGACGTTATCTTACCTGGCAGTCCACTAGAACTGACAGCAGCTTGCGTCGCGTTGTTCGAGGAGGAAGCAGAGGAGGCAGACACACGCGGGGCAGCCACGTGTTCCCGTAGCGACTTGGGGTGCGTGTGCACCTCGTAGTGGGTGGCTAGCGGGTGTGGGGCGCCCGAAGACGACGGAGCTGATTGGGTGAGCAGCGAGGATTTTCCGTCAGGGGAAGAAAATCCCAGGGCCGGTTCCACGCCGGCGTACAGCGCTACCTCATGCATGTACTGGACGATCCGGCTGTTGGGGGAGGCACCGTGTGTCCACGCCAGCTGGTGTTGTTGTTGTTGTAGCTGTTGCTGCGGCTGTAAATGTTGGTAGTGAGGGTGCTGGTAGAGGCCAGCGGCGGGGCTTCGCCAGACGTGGGCGGGCACGTTGTTCACCAGACTACCACCGCTCATCGACATGTTCTGAGCCGACGACGACGATAAACTCATCTGTTGTTGTTGCTGCGGGTGATGATGATGGTGGGACGAAGGTGTGGGGTGTCTCGGGCCCGTCGCCGACGATGAGGAAAATTGGTTGCTGTTGTTGTTGCCGTGGCGACGACCGGCGTGCGGGGACTCCCTCCTCTCCAGACTGCCACCCTGGCGCTTGTGCAGGAGTTGTGAGGACCTGGCCAGCATGCTGTGTGCGCGGCTGCGGTCGTGGGAGATGTCCGAGTGAGTGCTCCCCACACTGTCCTGACTGCCTGCGCGAGCCACGCGCTGCGGCGACCTCACCCGCGAGCCGAGTGGTGGTGGGGGTGGGGGAGGGGGAGGCGGGGGCCCGTTCTCGCTGCCGTTCCGCGGCATCATCTGTCGACGAGTCAAGTGTTTCCTCCCGTCTCCTCCCCCGTGTTGTTCCTCCGCCGATCTCTCCATCATCCCGCGATGACCTACGACCTCTGACCCACCAGCCACCGAACTCCCGTGGTAGACAAACCTCCGAGGCTCACTCTCCGACCGGTGCAGGAGATCCGAACCCCCACCGCCGCCCGGCGATCCCTCAACACCTTCAAACTTGTCCGTCGAAGACGAAGAAGCCGACGCGGAAACGCTCTGAGACTGATGATGCTGTAACAGATCCGAACCCTGCCCTGACAACTTCCTTCCCTGCATCAAGGCCTGCCTCGAACCACCGTGATGGTGATGAGGATGATGATGGTGAGGGTGAGACCCCCCTCCACCTCTCTCCCCTCCTGCTCCTCCGGGCACCTCCCCTCCGTGCGATCTGTCACTCCCTCCCTCCGCGGAGGAAGAAGTAGCAGAAGACAGCAGGTTGCGGAGCGCGGCACTACTTCCACTAGAGATCATCTTGTGCCGGGAGTGGATGAGATTGCGGAGCATGCTGACTGCGCCCATGTCCCTCAGCGCCGTCTGATCCTGCTCACAGCGGGCAGACAGGTTCCACAACGTGCCGCACGCGTTACTAACAATAGTCAGGCTAGGTGAGCGCAGCTGGTGGAGCAAAATCTGGGGAACGAGACAGGAAAAAAAATCCCATTTGAGTTGAGTAAAGTAAAGGTCGTTGACTTTGGGAAAAAAGAAGCAAGTCAACATAAGGATGAATGTGTAGAGCAGGGGAAAAGTCAGACAGACAGGCAGACAGACAAATACATTGGAATTTGAGTCAAGTGATGGTGATGATGATGCTGAAGACAATGATGACAATGATGACAATGATGACAATGATGACGACTATGATTATGAAACGTTCAACTTTTTCAGTGTAAGAGATTTTGAATTCTAGTCTCCACCAATTTTTCTTTCTTTTCTTGTTATCTTCAAGCTTTCAACAATGATGACGATGATGGTGGTCATGATGACAATCATGGCAATCATAATGACTATGATGGTGATGACCATGATGATGGCAATAATGACAATGACGATGACAATGACAATCATGATGACTATGATGATGCTGACAATGATGACAATAACAATGATAATAATGATGACGAATGATGACAATGATGATGACAATAATGAAAACGATGACTATGATGACAATGATAACGATGACTAAGATAACGACAATGATGATAATGACAATGATGATAACGACAATGATGACGCCCCCCTCACCTGCAAACATCCGTGCTGTCGAAGCACCTGCCTGTAGTCCTCCCTCAGGGCGATCTGGCTGGAGACGTTCCGGAGAATTCCGCCGCCGTTCTCCACGATAGCCATGGTTTTGGCCACGCTTTTGTAGGTCAGTAGGCCAACCAGGAACTGACCACGTGAGGGGGGGGGACGAGAAATGGGGAACGTTAGATATATAACAAGGGCAATGGGGAAACAGGAAACATTAGCGAGACATAATGGTGACAGAAAAGTTAGAGATATAAAAGAAACGGGAAACTGAATTAATAAGTGTGATTGGAATGTAAAACCCCATTTTGTTCAAAAGTTTAAAAAATAAAGCCCCATAATATATATTCAAAAGTAAACAACAAAACCCCCATTTTATTGAAAAGTATAAAAAAAACCACACTATATTCAAAAGAACCTTTCTTTAAAACATTTTATTTTTTAAAAAAACAAAAAAATCCCATTTCCTACAAGAGAACAAAAAAACGTACCAATTTCTTTCAAAAGTAAAAAAATCAAACTCCTCTCCATCTTATTGAAAGGTATAATATAATACCTCAACTTCAACTTATTCACACAAAAAACCCCAACCCAAAAAAACAAACAAAAAAAACCCATAAAAAAAACAACCCAAAACACAACTC